AGGTAGCTTAACCATGACTGGGAGAGATTGGGATCATTTTTATGTGTCGTTTGATCTGTGATGGACCCTGCATACGCTTGCTAATTACGGCAGGCTGAGACAGTGTCATATCGACCACCCAGTGCTCTCATCACCTCTGTAAGAGAGACAGAGTGAGCGAGAACCGAGAGAGAGAGAGAGACAGTGTGTGTGTGTGTGTGAGAGAGTTATAATCAGCTACCTCACACCTTCACTTCACACATCTCACACAGCAACACTCTCGTTTGGGAAAAAAAATATATTTATTTACCTCATCCTCATTGTCTTTGTTTGAAACCATTCTCTGCCTCCATACTCAAGGCCTGTTTCACACTGTGCATAAGCAATGCACTTTGGGACCCATATTAACAGGCAACAATTCACAATGCTAAGCAGTATCCTCCCTCACAATATAGTAGGAGTCAATTAAATATTGGGGCAAAGTACCTGCCCATATAAAAGCGTTAGTTCACCCAAAAATTTCTCATTAGTCATTTTCTTGTTCTCGTTCCAAAACCTGTCTTGTGATCCGCTGTTTTTAAGTGAATTATCACTTTAACAATAGTTCTAGAAATGATATGAAATCATATAAAAATTATGCAAACTATGTGCCCATATAAAAGGGTTAGTTCAACCCCCAACAACACCACCAACAACATACACACACACACACCAACACTGTAACAGGATTCATACAGTATCATACATGTAGCATTAGCCTAGCTACAATACAGTTGCAGCATTGGCCCTATTTTTCAGGAACATTCTGGGAAAATGCACTGAAAGTCTATTTATCAACATGATCTTAAACTATACTTGAAATAGTGTTTAAAAATGGAGCCAATTACCATATTTAAATGATTCATAGCATTAGCCTAGCTTCAATAGAGTTTCAGTGCGAATATCGAGAAAGTTCTAGAAATCTATTTATCAACATGTACAACATTCACAACTTTACTGAAGTAAATAAATGAATGAACACACATTATTTAAAACATGCTAGTTCAGTAAATCTGACCTGATTTAACCAGTTTTTTGATCTCATGAATGTAACAAGGTTGGTGATATCATATGAATATATGGAAACGTAGGATTTAAAAAAGGTAATCACCTGACCATTAGTGGAGCGTAAGCAGATCGCACTGAAACACACACATACGAGATTGTACAAATTTAAGTGAAATTAGTTTGTTATTTTTTGCTTCCATAATTAAACCTTCAGCATAAATATGTAGTAAAGTAATATTTCTAAATGTCGCACTGCCATTTTCTAATTCATGTCTGATTTTAAGCAAAAATCATAAGCCTGGCTTCACAGACAGGGCTTAGATTAAGCCAGGATTAGTCCTTAGTTCGATTTTATAAACGTGCCTTAGAAAAAAGCATTACTGGTGGAGTGGATCTTGAGACAAAACAATGGTACTGACAAGATATGCCAGTGACAAGGGCACTGACAAGATAGGCCAGAGAAAGTTGCTTTCAGTTTTTAACAGATCAAACTTTAGTCTGGAACTAAGCTTAAGCCTTGTCTGTGAAACCGGGGGTTAATGTGGTAACCCAGAAATCTCGTTCTTTTCTTTATAGGGCCACAGCTACTCCTGCTGTTGCGGTTCCACACTCCTTATGTGTATGGTGTGAAACAGGCCCAATGTCTGTCAAAAATAAGGTTTTAAATATTCATCATTAATGCCAAAGCAGATCTGGATTAAGTGCTTGTAGATTTAGCAGCACTAGTGATGCCCACCGCAGACAGGCTTGATGAATTTATTCAAACCCATTTGCTTCCTCTTTTATTTCAAGCAATCCATAGCTGTGTTTATTTTAGGTAAAATTGCCACCTACATTGCAAATGAATCACATCAACCAACCATTAAAAAAGATGAAGCATCTCCGGTTATGCGATCAAAGCTTTTAAATAGTAAAAACAGCATCTGGCTTTGTCGGCAACCCGAATAAATCCATAATACAAATTGCTTTTGTGAGAACTGGATGAGCAGCCGATTTTTTTGTATTGAACTTTTGTCCTATTCAGTGACCACAGTGGGAAAAGGATACTGATCCGCTAGCAGGATCAATACAGACCCGGAACGCTCTCCAGCTCTCATTCTTCAACACACACACACACACACACACGTTTGGTGGGAACACACAGAAGGGTGAGATGGGCAGGTGGTTCACCAGACAGTGTCGAGTGCCCCCTCTCACTCTCATTGTGCGAGTACGTGTGCATTTTTTTTTTTTGTCCCGTTCATCCGTCATGCAAGCGGACGCTGGGATAATGCACATCGTTTTAAACACAATCATCTCCATTCGTGTTGCGGTTCACGCGAGTCTCCTCATTACGTGTAATAGCTTGATGAGATGTGTGTATGGATTCATAACATTAAAATGTCAAAAGAATTTTAAGGAGTCCATTTCTCGCCCTCTTTCGCTCCTGTGTGAAATGAAGCAGTTTGTGGTAGCTGTCTCTCTCTCTTTCTCTGTCTGTAGCTCTGATGGCATCATTACTCCTAAGTGCCCACCCTGGCGCATCAGCTGTCAAATTAGCACGCTGCGTTTTAATGATTCACCTCATCTACCAAATAAAGCGTACCCATTGGCTCATTATTGATCTTCATTTACCCTGATTGGTCCCACTCGCTGGAATGGCACCGATTAAAAATCCTTTGGAAACGCACAGTCGACTGAGAGATGATGGGTGAAAGTGGGCGCAGGGGGGGATAGAGAGGCACTGGATAAATGCAAACATGATTGGCATGTTCCCGGTTGGTGCGGCGGTGTCACAGGTCGCAGTGCCGTGTTTCCGTGTCCTTCAGGCCTCTATTACTGAGCTGAATGCAGCAGGCTTATGGCCATCATAAAACTACAGTCCCTCACTGTAATGGCCATTGACATTATCAGCACAGTCATTATACACACTCACAGCAAAGTCACTGCTAGACAACAGCAACTGCCAATTTGGATAATTTGACTAATTTAAAAGCTTTTAAATTAGGCTGAGTGTGCTATTGAAGGTTTAACGAACTAATCACATTATTTAGATGTGGTTTTCACCTTTTTATGTTTTAATTGATGTAGTTTTTGTAGATTTGGTTAAAAAAAAAAGCAAAAAAAAAAAAAGCATGCACTACCTGGTTCATAATAATGCTGATTAAATGCCGCATGCACTAAATGCAACCTCAGCAGGCTGATGTGTTTTAATGTAAGCATGCATTTTCTGCAATATTGCTTATCTAATGGCGGAAGGGGTAAGATACTTTTCTGCTTTCCTCAGACACTTTAATTAGCGGCTCCCATTAAAGGTATAGCCCTAATACGCATTTACCATGAATGAGCCTGCCATCCGCATCAAGTGAATGCGTTCCTCTCCACTCGATGCTTTCATAATGAGATTCTGGAGGAAGGAAAAGAATATGAGCGAGAGAAATAGGTGAAGATTTGTAATCGCAAGCATGAAGTTTGAAAATAATATTCTCGTTCTCTCTTCTCTCTTTTTTTCCCCAATGTGTTTTCTAAATTCATTTATATTAATGTCGCAAATCTCTCAAGACGAGGGCAGATGTTCTCCCACCCACGTTGCACCTGTGGGACCGGTGTTTTAATTTAGCCTGACTTCACTGCAATAAACTTTTATATCATTCTTTTATTAGGTGTTAATATTAGACTGCCTCTCGGCCTGCTACGGCTTTATCGAATGACTTTAATAAGCTCTACAGGCCTTTTTCGACTAGCAAAATGCAACACTTAGCTTTTGCGATTTCTACATGTATGCTAACTTTCTTGTTGCTCTTGGTGTTTAACTGGCAGATGCATTAAATGCGGTTTGTCTATCCAGGATTCACTTTGCAATAACTTACCAGAGAGCATTTGCCTTTCATCTTATTAGTTATTTATTTTTGTGCTCTGTTTCTGGGAAGACTATCAAATCCCTATTTTTGCTGGTAACTTAATGTAATTATGTTTTATATTCAGGAATGACCCTCTCTGTGTGTGTGTGTGTGTGTGTGTGTGTGTGTGTGTGTGTGTGTACAGTACCATTGGAAAGTTTGGGACTGGGAGCTTCTTATACTCACCAATGCTACATGCATTTGATCAAACAGTAAAAACGTAATAGTCGTAATAGTCTATGTATATGCTTCTTGCAGAGCAGCAGAATAGTGTAGTAATGGCAGAAGGGGCTGACTGTACATTCACACCACAGCTGACTTGAGTGCCAAAGAAGCTCTGGCCGCTCTGACAAGGACGTTTGCCCCACGGCGGTATTTCCGGTGAAGCATTAGGGATGCTCGATAACTTCCGCCGATCGTCCAATGCAATACCGAGAATTTATATTGAATTTTATACTCCATGGTTATACTAAAGAAACGTTAGTCACAAAAAACAAACACCCCTTGTGTTTATGCTTCTTTTTAAAATTATATTAAATAAATATAACTATATATAAAATTACATCTCGTATGTACGTTTCATTTCAAAGACTGGAGGACAGTAAATTTTGAAGCCATAATCCCGTTTTCCTCGGTTTTCCTCCGCATCTCCACAACCGGAAATGGACGAGCATCCTTGCGTCAAATGCGGAATTTATGCGTGCATATAGCCCATTGAGAAAGTTCGAGAAATAGAGCACGTCACTGTAAAAAAATATGAGGGAAAAAGGAGGGAAATGATCCAAAATTTGAAAAAGGAAAGAGTAAGGTTTGATTTAGTAGAAATTTTTAGGAAAAATTCTGAAGAAAAGTGTTATGGAATTGTTTTGCATTATTTTAGAATGATTAATATAATTGAGAGGATTTAATATATATAGCCTAGTTTAATATACAAGTAGCCTAAGTAGCCTAATAGTCATTCAGTTTCACGCTCCATACCAGTTGGTGGCAGTAATGCACCATTTCATTGTGTGCCAACCGCCAAAAAACTCTTAATAGAAGAAGAAGAAAGTTCGAGAAAGAGTTCGAGCGGGAGAGATGAGAGAGAGTTCGGGAGAAAAGACGCAGTTTCAGCGACGTCTTGGAGTGTTTAAAACAAGAATCTGTCCTGTAATCAGAAGTACTGTTCGTATTTCTTCGCTAAGGAAGTGACTTATAACTTTGGACTGTTTCATGTAAGTTTGCTGTCGTTGCATGTTTGGCTCGGCCAGAGTTGAACGCTGTGCATGTTAGCATAAGTTACATTCTAGACTGAAACTGTTGTTGTCATCTGCTTAAACCGGGTGGTGTTTCAGGATAAAAACGCAGACTTTCGTTTCCCGGGTTGGAGATGTCGTTGAGCGTCGTCCAGTGACTTGGTGTAAATCCGACGCGCAGGCCTGTTGAGCACGGAGACATTGCAGCACGCTGGACTCCCGGACCATTTCAGTGTGATGAATGTGTTTCAACGCACACTAGCAACTAGATTGAGGTAACCAGTTAACTCAAACGATCTTTTTGTTTGCTCTTACGTTTTCTCGGCCACTACGCACTCAAGCTCCGAATCAGGCCTGCAACGGGGTGGGATGTGTGTAAACATTCAAGTGCACTAACAAACGTATTTTTGAGTATTTGGAAAGCTTAAAAGGGTTAGTAAAGCTTGTAAAAGTTATACAGAGTTATAAGTTAAGATTCATGCTTATATGGTTAACTTGTGAGTTAAATACATTCATAAAGTGACTTAAAATAAATTGAAAATCCGGGTGTGAAACTGTTCAAAAGTGTTTAGTTACTGTTAAAAGTAAGACAATCACAGAGGGTTGTTTTGACGTATTTTATTTGGTTTCGTTTTATTTGCATTTGTCAAATTCCAATTGTTTTACTTTATTTAATTTCATTTAAATACAAAGTCTCAACCCCATTGACATTTAATACAGGTTTATTTGTTAAACATTTATTTCCGAGTGTGTGTGTGTGTATTTTTGCAGTTTAAAAAGTAATATATAAACCCCACATGTGCTATGAGTAAACTGACTGCTTGTAGATTTATTGGAAGTTAACCTATTAGAAGACAGGGTAAAAGATCATTAGAAATAAAATAACTCGGGTCCCTTTCAAAAAACTCTGACAAAATCGGATCACCGTGAGCAAATTAATTGCATTCCTGCTTTACAACGAGCGTTCATAAATATTTCAAATAAAAGTTGAGCTCATGCGGTCCCTATAAGCAAACAACGTCATGTCATAAATGATACGAAACTAGTAGGAAACCCAGCAACGGCGATGATTAGCTTCTCTTCCATTTTCTCGTAGCTAATGTTTTGGTAGGAATGAAAATTTACATTCATGTTTCTCAGGAATCAGCCAGCATGCGCAACGTCTATGTTCCGATTGGTTGCTGGCCGCTGAACCGCGTCACAGCTCATTAACATAAAGTTGAGCTTCTTTCAACTTTCTGATTGACGCTCAAAACGCAACGCCGATGGATTTGACGCTCATTGCAGTTGAGAAAAGCCAGCTTCCATTGAAAATGAATGACTTCCTGCCGCTTTGGAAGCTCAAGTCGGCGGCGGTGTGAACATACAGTAACTGGACAACCTCTTCCCCTCTTAATTATCAGCACCCACAGGAAACACAGGCAGAGTCATCTGTGCCGGCTAATCCGTGATGAGTTTCTCTATTCTCTTCTGGGTAAGCTTGGTTTGAATAAACAATAAATACTTGTTTTCTCCCAGCTCTCATAAGAAAACAGGAAGCAATTTTCAGCTCGAAGTAACAATACTGTGTTTTAAGTGCAACACTTTCGGCTCTTCTTCATTTTCAGTTTTATATGTTGAGTTCAGTATTAATTTACTATCAACATATTTCATTCCAAAGACAACCTCTGTCCTCAGTCTATAATACACATTGTCCTGTCAGTGCAGACTATAAATGGGCTGTAGATAATTGCAGGGGGATTCTCTAATAGCGGTCAGGGTGAGCAGAGACGAGGCCCTGTGTGATGTAGGCACCGTGCCTGGTTCATGAGTTCTCTTTGTTCCTGTGCGAGTGTTTTTCTATGGGGCATTAAACTTGTCTGTCCCCCAGCCTGGCAATATGAAGCCAACCTTGCCAGAGGATTATTATGGCTGGAGAAATGGTCAAGCTTGATGAATCCAAAGGAAATTGGCTTTGAAACAGCCTCATCTGCTTGGGTCAAAGCCATTACTTGCTATATCTTCTAAGTGGATTTTGAGTGTTGCAGAATTAGTTCAGAATTACCTCCACTGCACTGACATTTTGCCGCCTGCTTTTGTGAAGCCACAGCCAAACGATGGCCATTTTTTCAGTAATTGCAGAAGTGATATTTTAATTATCCGGACACACTTACATGTATATTTTCGGTGGTCTTCTCTATGGTAGTGTGTCAGAGTTTATGCTCTGTGGTTGACTGCGAGAGCAATATCTGAAAAGAGATGAATTTTAGGCCTGATAAAGCTTTGTTAGCCATAGGGATGGGACGGTATGAAAATTTCATATCACGATTATAGTGTCCAAAATAATCGTGATTATCAATATTATCACGGTTTTGTTAAAAATTGATGAAAGTGCTCAAAAAGAACTGATGCTCACACTGAAAACATTTCAACAAGTTTTATAATTGAAAATCAACAAACAACAAATAAAACAAGCCTCTCTATGCAGTTTTTTTTTAAGCAAGATTCTATTCCATGGCATTTGCTTCTTTATAACGCCCGTCGTCAATAGCAACGCATTATTACACAGCGCACATCCATATCACAACGGACGCGCGCTCTTGTTTCATTCAAATACAACTTGCCGTCTTGTATCTATACTTTAGGGCCAATCCCAATTCTACCCCTTACCCCTTTCCTTTCCCCTAGCCCTACCCCTTCGCCTTCCCCTTGACCCTTCAAACAGAGTGGCAATGCGTAGGGGTGAAAATATTCCCCTAAGAAATGGGACACCACTACGCCTCCGTTAAACGTCATTATAAGTCGTCGCTAGCGCCTACGTCACAGGATATGCGCCGATGTTTATCACAACTTCCAAGATCCCGTCGACAGCTGCAGTTATCTGTCGCGTGGGTTACAGCTATTTTCTTGCATCTTGTGAAGTTCGCAGGAAACAACGGAGACGACGAAAATATGTTGCGGCACTATCGTTAGCAAACTACAGTAATTTTAGCGATTTTTTTTTACAAACGTTTCTGTGAAGAAACTGACCGTAAATATGAACACAATATTGAATGTAACATAAAGCAAATCATTATTTGTCGTTATAATACTTATTAAAGCCATAAATACTTAAATGTATGGGTCTCCTTTGTCGCTTGGGCAGCCAGGCTGGGTTAGCAGTGACACTTCTCATACCCCTTCGTTTGAAGTGTGCTCCCGAAAAATCTTCGTTTGAAGGGCTATCTGGCCCTTCACCCTAGCCCTCCCCCTCCAACCAAAAGAGAATTGGGACAGCCCTACCCCTTCACGTGGACGCGCAAAACGGAGGGGAAGGGGAAAGTGAAGGGGTAAGGGGTAGAATTGGGATTGGCCCTTACTATCCCTTAAAATATCACTCTTAGTGATATGAAAATTTACATTCATGTTTCTCAGGAATCAGCCAGCATGCGCAACGTCTATGTTCCGATTGGTTGCTGGCCGCTGAACCGCGTCACAGCTCATTAACATAAAGTTGAGCTTCTTTCAACTTTCTGATTGACGCTCAAAACGCAACGCCGATGGATTTGACGCTCATTGCAGTTGAGAAAAGCCAGCTTCCATTGAAAATGAATGACTTCCTGCCGCTTTGGAAGCTCAAGTCGGCGGCGGTGTGAACATACAGTAACTGGACAACCTCTTCCCCTCTTAATTATCAGCACCCACAGGAAACACAGGCAGAGTCATCTGTGCCGGCTAATCCGTGATGAGTTTCTCTATTCTCTTCTGGGTAAGCTTGGTTTGAATAAACAATAAATACTTGTTTTCTCCCAGCTCTCATAAGAAAACAGGAAGCAATTTTCAGCTCGAAGTAACAATACTGTGTTTTAAGTGCAACACTTTCGGCTCTTCTTCATTTTCAGTTTTATATGTTGAGTTCAGTATTAATTTACTATCAACATATTTCATTCCAAAGACAACCTCTGTCCTCAGTCTATTAAAGCCACAAATACTTAAATGTATGGGTCTCCTTTGTCGCTTGGGCAGCCAGGCTGGGTTAGCAGTGACACTTCTCATACCTCTTCGTTTGAAGTGTGCTCCCGAAAAATCTTCGTTTGAAGGGCTATCTGGCCCTTCACCCTAGCCCTCCCCCTCCAACCAAAAGAGAATTGGGACAGCCCTACCCCTTCACGTGGACGCGCAAAACGGAGGGGAAGGGGAAAGTGAAGGGGTAAGGGGTAGAATTGGGATTGGCCCTTACTATCCCTTAAAATATCACTCTTAGTCTTGTTTAAAGTTGTTCGTTCGTCTTTGGCTCAAATCCACTTGCTACGAACTTTTCTTCGCGGAAGCTTCACGTCTATTTCAAGTGAGTGACATAAAATGTTTCAACTCAAAACAACATTTCGTGCCCAATTGTTTCCCAGACGTAGTTTTGGTATTAAGGTCAAAGTTAACTTGCCTTGCGTTCGGGTGATGATCACACAAGACGACTCGGCAGATTTGAAGTGTTTCTATTGCAGTGACTTTTTGTTCGGCAGACAGGGTGACCATCCTCGATCAAGTTTCCCTCAGGACTTTTGTAAAACCCAAAATATGACCACACCTCAGATTTGGTCCTCTTAAAAGGCTGAAAAACCTCCTGAGCACGGTCACTGCCTTCCGCCATTCCTTCTCGAATAATAATTGAAAAAAATATTGCGTGCTGCACGCCTGCGTCAGGCTGGCCGACAGGATTCAGTGAGTTATTAAAATCGCGATAATCAATATTTTAATGATAATTAAATTTTAAACGATAATACTAACCGTCAGTACATTTTATCACGGTTTATAGTGAAACCGGTTATCGTCCCATCCCTAGTTAGCCATAACATATCTTGACTCTCACAGGACACTTTTGGTATTGCATTGCATCAATTATACATTTTTAAATCTAGTGGTGTCTAGATGGCTGACGATGATGTCTAATATTTAATATTTATTTAATATTAGTCAATTTATAAATATATATGATTTATGAAGGATTGTGCCACTGAAGACTGGAGTAATGGCTGCTGTTTTTTAAAATTCAGATTTGTAATCACAGGAATAAATTACATTTAAAATTATATTCAAATAGAAAATAGTTATTTGAAATATTTCTTTATATAATAATTTAAATACAGTTTTCATTCATTTAAATTCAGTATTTTTCATTGAAGAATTCCACGTTTCAAGGTTTTTGCCATCAAATGAAATTTGGTTGAGAGTGAGTTAAGTGTCCAAACATTTTGTGGGATGTTATTTTTTAGAACATGCATTTTGCCTTTAGAGTATGCAGCTCTGCAAAGATTCCATATAATTATATTAATAAATATGTTTTAATTTGAAACACTCATACTACAGTAATTGCCTTTGCAGGCATTCCTACTGTGACAGTTTTGTAAGTATATTCAGCTTTATGAACCTTGACTTTGTAACAGTCAAAGAATTGAGGAAGGGTTTTATGTGGGGACAAGCACTTTCTGTACCACCTTAAAACTGAATAACAATGTGTGGTTTGTCCCCTATTGTTGCATCCCATATGTGGATCCCTGCTGATCCTACAACACGACCAATGCGTACACACACCTCATTATATCTGGGTAAACTTGTCAGGCAGGGTACAATTTTTTTATGTTGTTGTGAGTTGCATAAGCCCCTCCACTTGCATCTGTACAGTAGCTGTGTGTACAGGAGACTACAGTGTCCAGCCTGTCAGGTGAGCTAGAAGAGCTGCAGAACATGCAAAGAGGTCTGTGGCAGGAGACAGGAGTATACTCAGCTCTGATTACAAGTATGTGTTGACATCTGTTTTTTATTTTCCATTTACCTCCACAGCTTTGTTGAGACACATTTAACTCATCAGATGTCAAAAGGATCATCTAAAAGGTTTTTCAAACCTCATGAATTTACTCTTATACTGACCCCAACATTTTTGAATGGTAATGAATATTTTATTCAGCACGGACATTTTTGCAATTTCTATTTCTAATAAATACTGTTCATTTGAACTTTATTCATCTAAACATCCTGAAAATGCAACAAGCTGCCCACGTGCTTTCAACATTGGTAATATTATTAATATTCTTAGATTTGCATATTATAAATATTTTTTTGAAGAACCATGTGACACTGAATACTGGAGTAATGGCTACTTATAATTAATCTTGGCCATTGCATAAATACATTTTTAAATATATTAAAATATAAAACAGTTAATTTAAATTATAGTAATATTTAACAATATTAATGTTTCACTGTATTTGTGATTTTTGAACACATGCAACCTTTGTGAGCATAAGATACTTGTTAAAAAAATCTTACGAACGCTAAACTTTTGATGAATGGTATACTGTAAACGTCCATGTACTGCGTTTGAGGCAAAAAATAATACAAAAACACAAGATAAAAAAATAGATCAAGTAAAAAAAATCAAGTGTATTTGTGAGAGAATGGTAAACAAATTGTTTTCCATGTTTTGTTTGTTATTTCCTAGCATGCAATTGTGCTTTGCAAATGCAAGGTCGTGGTTGAGAGCAGAAGCCCTGAACTGCATTAAACACCAGGTGAACTCTGAGCAAATCTACCTACACTTTCAGTTGCGTCTCTTCTCCATGCAAAGGCACAAGTGCCCTTCTTTTGTCCTTGTTCTCCTCGTCATCTTTCACGTTCCTTCTTCAGCTACAGACAGACACTCACACTCTTGTGCGTTGTCTTCATTCAGTGGTTTGAAGGTCAACTCAACTTGGTGTAGTCTTCTGACGTTATTTGCATTAAAATGGTTCAGTCTAGATGTTTGTGTACAGTTAACGGTGTCAAACATACAAAATAATTGCATTGTGAGTCATGTCAGCCCAGTAAAGACAATCGAATAAGAGTTTAAATGACACAAAAGGCCCAACGAACACATGGACCGTGCACAACAGCTATGAAGGCCGAGCGCACTTTTTCACCCTATTGTAGTGCGATACAGAACAGGGTTGGCTGCATCTCCTCCCCCTTCCCTTTTTCAATCACGCATCAGCTTTTACTGAGGTCTATTTACCATCCGCTCCTGATTGAAAACACTCATCCTCTCTGATTGAAAAAGGCCACACATATCAAGACGGAAGGACATGCCATTCCTGAGAGCTGATTGGCTTTGAGGAAGAGCCCTACTGCACGCTCTCGTGAAGGGCATTTTGGACTTGTCGTATAGAGGCTCGCTTAATTACTTTACCCAGCCCTGTTTTAAAGTATCTCTCATCCTGCGTCTCCATCCCACCAATTATTCATCACTGAAGTGCCGTTACTAAGGCATTAGGTGGTCACCATGAAAATTGTTGCTGGTACTGGAGCAATTAACAAATCCATTAGTGTTATCTGTAAGGAATCGCATGCTCTCTGGCCACTCTTATTTTTTTAAAATGTAACTGTGCCGGTGCCAGGAGGACAGGCTAATACGCACGTGCATAAGAGCAAGTCTTATTCCATCACGTTGGCTACTTGTCAAACTTGTATGTTTAATTCAGCAGCGTGTCATTATAAATATACATATTTAACTAATTCATCATCTGCAGAGCCTTTTAATTAGTGGAATAGATCAATGTTTAATGTTCTCTTTAACAATACATGGCTGCAGTGTTTTAATTCGTGTCATAACTATGTTGATGATGCCTCCCTATGCATGCTGGAGCCTAAGGGCCTCTATTTCAGCTTTTGTATATGATTAAATATTTAAATGCTGAACATAAGTCTATGTATAATAATTTATGCTCATTTTTAATCTTTATTAGCAGAGCATCACACTTAAAATTGCATACTTTGTCAAAACTGCATAACTTGTCACACTACTCTTTCAAACCTGTAGACAGTCACATGATAATAGCAATCGACTGGGTTCATAAAACCACTACTTTTTGTCATGGGGAGACAATATTGGCCATTCCACTTCTGCTACCAATTAAATCATGCCTCAATTCATCATTGTTAAAAAAGACGAGGACTTCTGTTAAATTATCATAGTCATAATAATTGTTATGTTGTGCAACACTACAGCGTTTGTGGCCCCTTTTGCAACGTTGCTGGTGTTTTTTTTTTTTTTTTTTTTTTTTTTTTTTTTTTGGTCATTTTTCCCATAAGGATTTGAATAACAAATTTAAGCATTATAAGCCATGAACTAAGCCAACAGGCTAGAGGTAGATCACAGCATTACATACGTTCATTTTAAGCAGAACTTTTTTTTTTTTTTTTTAGAAAATTGGACAAAAAAAGACAACGGTACAATAGCTTATAACAACCCCTTACAAAAACGTAAGGCCAATTTATACTTCTGCGTAGTGTACAGCGTAGGCTACGCACGTAGGCGACGCCGTCGCGAGCATTTATACTTCTGCGTTCAGGTCTTGGTTGCTCTGCAGTACTGCTCTGAAACGCTAGGGTTTTAAGACGAAGGGTTTTAATTTTCCACTGTGTTTAGATTCCTTGCGGTATGGTACGCGTCTGTGTGTAAACGGAGAAATGCCCTGGCGACCACCCAGAACACCCTATCATTAGAGCTTTGCACATTTTTATTTATTCATTTATTTATTTATTTTTCAGAAAATGCAAAAATCTAGTTAATATTACTTTTTTTTGTAGATCATGCTTTTCACATGCACTCTATTCTTCTGGTGATTTATCTTCGGTTAAGATTCCAGGAAGTGATCATCCAACAGAGACATCCAAAGTCTGCAAATGCACACATTCATCTCCACCCTGTCTCTTTTTATTTCTCCACTCTTCCCTATCTATATGTTTTGGATTAGAATAATTTTTTAACCCATATCTCTAGTGAATGTGGAAGCCTCCCCGTTTCCGAGCTTGCGGTGTCAATAGCTGCTGTTTAATCCTGATCCCCCCGAGCACCAGAGGTTGACACATGATACAACCAAATTGTCTTTATTTCAGAGGCAGAGTGACATCCCTTCCATTCTGTTTGGCTCTTTCTAATCCATGCAGATGTGAAACCATTCAGTCTGAGGTAAAGAAAATTGACACAAATCACTTTTGGATCCTGGTGTATGTGTGTGCGTGACTGCGTGTCTGTCGCAGGGGAAGAGCAAAGACCAGGATATACAAGACAGCTTGCAACTGCATTGTCGACAGTGCTTTTTCAGCGAAAAAGAGGTTTAATATGCAAAAAGGCAGTGATGGGTGTATGTGAATATGAGAGAGAGAGATTGAGTGGTCTTACGAGCGAACAGCTATCTAAGGGTGCTTAACTCCACAAAGCTCCAAAGCTCTATTCAACACCTATTCAATGCCACTGCCAAGATTAAAAACTGGCATGTAGAGTCGTGTCATCCTATCGATCCTCATCTGCTTTGTAAGTCTACCATAAACAACCATTTAGCTATTTACAGAAGACCTTTCTGATACTCGCCTGCTTCACTTTCCTGTAATTGAACACATAGAGTATCATGCCCTTATGCTGTGAAAAGTGTCTCTTTGGATGGAGAAAAAAAGATTCTGTGATTGGTTGCATAAACATTTTCTAGTTGCTTTAGATAAGTAGTTTTAAGTGGTGACTATAGAAATAAAAATAAATACATTTCTGGAGTGGAAAGGCAATGTAAATGCGGGTCCCTTTCAATATGGTCCACTCGCATTGCATCAGTAGCTGAGAACGAGGAAAATGCGCCAACATTTTTCTTCAAGTGCGAAAGATCATCTCCTTGCTGACTCCGAAGTGAAGAAGATAGAAGAAGACCTGCCTTCCAGGTATGTATTTCCATACCTCCATGCACCCTGTTCACGCAGACATCACACAAAATCAGCACGTTTCATACTATGCAGAGTCACCGTGATCCATAACTGAAACAGCAGCCACCTTTACAGTTCCTCCTGAACCACAACAATGAGCTTATGCTGCATTCATGACGACTACCATAACTTGGAAGAGATGAAAACCTTCAATGGCAACACTATCAATGCTGAAATGTATCTGCAGCAAGAAGGTGGTACAGGTCAGTGCTCTTTAAGTTCTTCATTACTATTGTTGTGTTGTGTGCTTTTAAACAAGAGGTAGTTTAACAGTCTCTTGTGACACTTTTGTTTGCTCCTTGCTGTACGCATTCATGTGTTGACGTTCTGAAGGGAGGGTGGGATCTTATGCTTTCAAAGCTAGCTTGCTATTGTTAGTCTCCATGAAAATTACCCACTCTACCTTTAAATAGCCAATTGGCTGTCGGTTTTGGCGTGTTAAAAAGCCACGTATCCAGAGAATTTGTAAATAAACATGCATACAGTATGTTGTATATTTCACAATTTACAATACATTTGATCAGTTGATCTGTTCCAAAACGTGTTTCCTATGTGAGCAACATTGTAATGTGCTTTTGACAAGAATTCTGGTCCAAAGGTTGGTAATTTAATTTGCCTTAATTTTGATTGTTAAAGCAAGATAAGTTAGTCTTATAATGTTAAATCCAGGTTTTGCCTACTGTTTTATAGTGTTAATTCAGACATACCACTTTTCACGTTTTTAACACGCTATATTGTACAGAAGTAGCCTATGCTATGCTTCCCCGAGAATCAAAAACATATACAAACATACATGTAAACATATAAACACATTCATAAAACAGGAAGACCCATATTCAAGTTTTGGGATTATTTTTCGTAAATTTGCTTTGTGGCAACTTTTCGTATGAAAATGAATTGTTGCGAATACTTCCCTACTTGGCGATTTCTAAAGCACCTTCTCTGTGTTGTTGACATTCACTTGTCTCTAAATGCTGCTCTTTACTTCCTTCTGGAGCTTGTGATGATGTGTCTGTGAATTTATGTGACCAATTGTCCAGTTCTGATCGATAGATCTGTAGATTCTTTTGATTTCACACTTGTGAAATCTCATTAGGCTGTTGCCATAGAAAAATTTCTGTGGCTTTGAGCCTTTGCAGGCGACCATGTGCAAACATTGGGAAATGACGGCTTGCATCTCAGGGCATGAATGTGGCACAGTTGTGAAAAATATGGGATGTATTAACAAAAGAGCTGAGCTCGCCTTTAACATTAGACAAGGTCCTCTAAAGCACTCTGTAGTGCAGCAGTAATTGACACACTGTAGTCAACGCCGTGTGTGTTTCCTTCTCTCTTAATCGCCTTTCTTTAATCTCTCTTCTTGGTTTGATTCTTGCTGTCTCTCTCTTTCTGTCTCTCTCTTCCGTCTCTCTCTGTAGTTGTGCATACAGAAAGCCACTTATTGGTGATTATTCAGGAGTGGATTTGGCTGCAGAAGGGAAAGTGATTTTGCTGTGTTGGCTTTGATGAGGTAGAATAAACTGTCAAACATATGGGGGCAGGTGACAGCATGATGGACATAGCCAGGGCAGAGAAAATCGTACCAGATTAGCACTCCCATATTTATTAACCATCAGTAAGGGAGACTGAGAAACAGACAGGCTGGGAGGAGATATGCCTTGTCATCTACGTTGATGGAAATAGTCTTATCAGTTTACTTAATGCTCCAAACTGAACATTTGCATTCGATACATGTTTTTACAAGACCTGAAAGTCTCACTTGAGCATATTTTCACTGTGTGTGGTGTTGACTTAAGGGGAAATAGCGTGTGTATGGTACAGTGACCTCATAATTTATAATGTTACCTGTTTAGGTTTTTTATTTACTGAATTACTGTAGATTTGTGTATTTATTATATGGATGATGAGTAGGGGGAGTTTGGTCTTCAGCACCTTCATTATTCATCATAACCTAAAGGCCAATTGGATCTGAATTAGTTATTTATTGCTATAACATTCTTCCAATCAGAATATAGGCCCATCAGTAGCTTATAAAATTAAATAATGTAATTCAGAAGTACCTCATTAACTTTTTTCTGTTATTATTCATTTAACAGAATATTTTTTTAATTTTTTTTTCATTAATGACACCTTTAAAAAAATGACAAACAGTACCGTTCAAAAGGATTCATAAGATTTAAAAAAAATAAAAATGAATACTTTTTTTCAACAAGGATGCATTACATTGATCAGAAGTGACAGTAAAGAAATGTATATTATGATACAAAAGATTTACATTTCAAATAAATTCTGTTCCTTTGCTCTTTCTATTAATCCTGAAAAGGAGCATTAAATGGATAGTTCACTTTTTAGCTTACCTCAAGGGCATCCATTTGTGATCACAGTCACTTCCAAGTACTCTGAGGGCGAGGGTGCTTCTATCTGCGCAAGCGCACCAGAAAGCCCTGGAAATGATCTCTCGCGCATTTACAGTATGTCACTCATTGTTTACACAGAGATTTCAGAAGTGTTATCCTTCACTGTGAAGATCTAAACATATTTAGATGTACAGAAAATTGCAATGGAAGACGATTTCGATATATCAACAGACAACTTAGATTTTTTTTTTTTCGTAACCGCGTAAGAGATCTTTTCGGCGCATGCACAGACCAAAGCGCCTGTGTCTTCAGATCACTTGGACGTGGCTTTGGTTACAAGAGGTAAAAACGACAAACACTGTTCGTTTTGTGTCTTAGGCCATCAATGTGTACTTACATTTACGAGTTATTAAATCATGTTTAATTTGGACTTCTCTGTGCATGCTCTTTGAGGTGAACCAAGGATGGACCCCATAAATCTCCATTATATGACTGACAAGAACGGTTTGACCTAAAAATATAAAAATTGAAAATACTGT